CACACAGCTTATCTTAATTAACATAAACTAGATACAGCAGTCAACCAATAAGGAATCTCCACACTTAATGGCTCGCTGGCGCCACCTCACAAACCACTTCCCGTGGCAAAATGCTAGGCGCCATCCCAACTTGTTTACAGACTCTAATAACCATGCCTGGTGGATTTCTTAAATTTATTTTTATTTTTTAGACCAAAATGGGTTTTTAAAAAATTATGCAACTTCATGCTATCTACAAGAGGTATGCTTCAGATTAAAAAACAAATAGGCTGACAGATTAAGAATATGAGAAGATATACCATGTAAACAATAATTCAAATAGAGCTACTAATATTAGACAAAAGAGGGTTTAAGAAAAAATATTTCCAGGAGCTAGGGATTAGGTCAGGGGTAGAGTGCTTGTAGCATGCACAAGGTCTTGTCTTCAATCCCCAGCACTACAAAAAAGGGAAAGAAATTCCCAGCAATTTGGGAGGCTGAGGCAGAAGAATTACAAGTTTGAGGGCAGTGTTAGCAACTTGGTGAGACCCTGTCTCAAAAAATTAAAACGGGGGTCTGAGGATATGGCTCAAGCAGTAGCGCGCTCTCCTGGCATGCGTGCGGCCCGGGTTGGATCCTCAGCACCACACACAAGCAGAGATGTTGTGTCTGCCGAAAACTAAAAAATAAAAGATTAAAATTCTCTCTTTCTTTAAAAAAAAATTAAAATGGGCTGGGGATGTAGTTCAGTGGTAGCATGCCCCTGGGTTCGATACACACACACACACACACACACACACACACACACACACACACACTCAAATCATGTATAACACTCTTCCTTGATAAAAACACACGGGAGTCAGAAGATGCAACTTTCCTAATAAAGTAATAAAAGAATTGATAAAGGGCATCTTTGGAAAAACCCAAAGACTATATCCTATATAATGATCAAAGACTGAAAACTTTCTCCCTAATATCAGGCAGTAAACAAAAATATCCATTCTTGACACCTCATTTAGAAGTGTACTAAAGGTTCTAGCAGAGCCATTAGACAAAAGGAAGGGAGGGCCGATGTCCAGGTCAGAAAGGGAGAGTGGACTGTCTGCCAACAAGATCTTATGTATAGAAATCCTAAGGAATCTACAGAAACTATTAGATGGAGTAATGAGTCCATCAAGGTTGCCAGATCACCAAAACAATTAAGTGCTTAGAAATAAATTTGACAAAAATTCATCTGTACACCAAAAGTTACAAAAATCTTTATGGAATATCTGAATAAATGGAAGACATTTCATCTTTGTGGATTGTAAGGAAATTATTGTTGGAAATATGCCTCAATTTGAATGAACTAGTTTGATCAAAAACCTCAGCTGCTGCTTCTCCTCCTCCTCCTCCCCCTCTCTTCCTCCTCCTCCTCCCCCTCTCTTCCTCCTCCTCCCCCTCTCTTCCTCCTCCTCCCCCTCTCTTCCTCCTCCTCCTCCTCCTTCCCCCTTCTCCTCCTTCTAGGGTGAGGGCAGAAATTGACAAGTTAACACTAAAACTCATGTTACTACAAAGAACAATAATAGCCAAAACAGGGAAAAGAACAAAATTGAAAGATGTATACTTAATTTAAAATTTTACCACAAAGCTACCATTAATCTGTATTACGTGGTTTTGACATAAGGACAGATACACAGATCAAAGAAATAGAATTGAGAATCCTAAAATAAACCCTTGTACATACGGTCAATTGATTTTTGACAAGAGGGCTAAGATAATGCAGCAGGGGAAAGAATATTCTTTAATAGTGCAAAGACAATTGAAAATAGATATGAAGTGGATCCCTTTTTCAATCTACAAAAAGGTTTGAAGACTTTAAAGTTTAAACTATGAAACTCTTAGAAATAAACTGCACTTCATCAAAGTTAGAAATTTTTTGGAAAGTTTGACATCATCAAGGAAAAAAAAACCTCACAAAATGGGAGAAAAGATTTGTAAGTAATATGCTTATTAAGGACAGCCATACGTAACACAAAGAACTATCACAACACAATAAAAATATGAGCCAATATTAAATAGGCCATGTATCTAAACACATCTCCAAAGAAAATATTAATCAATAAATAGAGGAAAGTATGCTTAATATCACTGGTTATTAGGTCATGCAAATCAAGACCACAACCAGATATTACTGCATGAGCAAGTAATAATCAAAAGACAATATTAGGCACTGGTAAGGACACAGTGAAGCTGGAATCCTTATTTATTGCTACAATATCCTTATATATTAAATAAATT